GTACGGCTCTGAAAAGTTACTGCTACAGCAACATTTACACACACAGAAACTGTGTGTATGTTGGGGTATTTAGTTATCATTAAACAAGTCTATGATATTTCTATTATTTTTTTTCTGTATTTTCTCCTGTCAATAGCTGATAAAGCTTCTCCGTCAGACAAACATTTAGTCTGACTACACGTATGGAGGCAAGATAAATCTCTTCTGTTCCCCCCACTTTTTTTTGATACAGTAATTATCTGTACAGGCCACAAACATATATCAAGGATTTGCTGGAATGAAAATAACAATCATCGCTGGAATGAAAATAATGATCATCACTGTATTGTTTTTTATTGCCAACTCAACAGGCTCAAACAGCCTGGAATTGATTCAGACAAAACCAGGTATAAAGCAAGAGCTGCACGAAATTCTTTTTAGATTAGACACTAGAATTAAATTCTTTGCTGTGAGGGCAGTGAGAGCCTGGCCCAGGTTGCCCAGAGAAGCTGTGGCTGCCCCATCCCTGGAGGGGTTCAAGGCCAGGCTGGATGGGGCCTTGAGCAACCTGGTCTGGTGGGAGGTGTCCCTGCCCAGGGCAGAGGGGTTGGAACTCGATGATCTTTAAGGTCCCTTCCAACCCAAACCACTCTAAGATTCTAAGATCACTGTTTACAAGTGCAAAGTAGCAAATTTCCAGAGGAGAAGCCGGAAGAGAAGGGAAAGGACGGCCTATGAGGGACACCCGATGCACTGGGCCCAGGGAAGGAGCCGCTGGTTCCCGAGAAGGTAAAGCAAACGGGCTGGTGAAGGGCCAGGGGGTTACGGGAAGTGCAAAAAGCAAGGGAGGAAAAAGGAAACGGGTACTTCAGCCATGGCAAAACACCTTACTAACTCTTCTCACCACCTCCAGCTTGCTCCTTTTTTATAGGAACTTCCATTCTCGACGTGTCTGTTGGCATGATTCAGAACTGCTCGAGGTTTTCCTTTCCCAGCCAGGAATGGCATATCGAGAGCTCCAAGACACCCCCAAACAGCAGCCCCCTGCTCTTAAAGCAGCCTCTTTTGTGAGAGCACGAACAGCGTATGTTAAAATTAAACACCGCGACGCCGGTGACAAACACGGGCAAGACGTGCCTCGGTGCTTGAGCTCCTCAACCCAATTACCCATGGATGAGATCAGGGGACTTGCCAATTATCTGAGAACAGGCCCTGGAAAGAGAATTCCGTTTCCTCACAGAAACTTTTCCTCTCGCTTCAGTGTAAAGCGCTCTATTTGAAGTTTCAGGGGTACATTTATTTTTCTTCTTCTGGCCCGCAGGTCAACGGTCAAAGAACAAGCACGAAAATGATCCAAGTTTGTAGAGCAGCTGGAACACAAGAATCTTTGAGCTGGCTGAGGGCACGTGTCAGACGGTGGGGAGAGAATGACATTCCCAGGATAAAAGGGAAATATAAGGGTACAGCTGGCACCACAGCCCAGCGGTTATTAAAATTTCCTAACCTTGCTATCCTATTTCGCAGAAGCAAACTCGATGTATTATTCTCTGCAATCAGAAGTCCTGCTTCAGAAAATCGCCGATTCAGTAGCAAGGGTGTTTTTATTAAAACAAAAGGAAGATCTCTATCATCCAAGGAGTTTCCCTGTTCTGTGAACTAATGTATAGAATAAAATTATTTAGGGAGGTGGGGAACGAATGACCAACCACATCGTAGCTTCTAAAGAAAATTCAGATAATACAAACAAAAAAATCTTAAACATTAGTGATTCTAAACTACCCTTTTTAAAAAAAGAATTCCTATATTATTAGCTACTGTTTAAAGAATAACAATATTATGGCAGTTCATAGAAAACGCATAGGATTTAAAAGACTACAAGGACACAGCATGGTATAAAAGCCTTTGTACTGCTTTGACTTTTATTGACCTACATGTCAATTTACTCCTCCCCGAGCATTACAACTGTAGGTGAAAAAAATCAAAGCAAGCCTCCTAGAAATGGATAAATCCAAGATCTAAAGTGGAATGCAATTGTTATCCAGAAACTCATCAGCAATACAAAAGGTGATCCACTTAAATCAGGTTCTTTTCCCGAAAATATATTGAACTTTTATTTCAAAGAAGCAGTAATGTTATTTTATTTTTAATTAAAATCTGGCAGTGCACTGAAATCTTAATTTTTATTCTTTAGTTCTGATCAAAGCATTACTAAATGTATTCATATTTGAATAAAATCTAACCATTTTGTATACTATCTTTCTCAATAGCTGAAGACCTACGTGAAAGTAGGGACCTTGGATACGCAATTAAAAAACCCACCTAATCTTTTCAGTAACAGTATAATATATTGTTCTGCAGTACTCAGTCATAGCTGTCTGTAGTAACATAGTAAGGAATAAGTATTTTAAATATTTGCTACTCTCTCATATGGAAGAGGATTTAAGAAAGAATAACAGTGAATACCTTTAATAACGGTGCTTCACATCAGTCACCAAACATCAAACAGATAGTTCCTTCAAACCAAGCTACTCGTGTGTGATTAACACCAATTATTATTTAAATTTTTTGAAACACCCAGAAAATGTTCTTTTCATTTAGCAAAGCAAAATGGCCTCTTCTCCTGTTTCATCGCACCTTCACTGTAACATAAAGCAGCCCCAAAAATTACTGCTGTCAAACATGCTTCCAATTTAACAGGTTTTTAAAAAGCTATGTCACAAACTCATTAAATCCCTGTGGTATCTTTAGTAAGAGACTGCCGAATCTTTCATAAACAACATTGGACATTAGTCACATCAGATGTCCAAAACATGCAATTTAGTAAACATAGGCAAAGACTAAAAATTTTTTATTAAAAATGTGCCATAGTTCCATGAGAAACACCAGCATTGTTTGTTGAGCTCTCTGCAAAGACAAAAGTGATTTCAATACAAAGACCAGAGGAAGGAACGAAGAATGATTTATTTCCCAAAACGGAAAAAATATGCGTCCTTGAAAGCTGATAGATTCTTACTAGAATTTAAATAAGCAACAGCACTTCTAGTCAAAGGCAACCGCATTTTCTTCCCTGATTTACATGTCATTCTCATGGCAGCAATGTTCAAATGACTGTACAGGGATATTCGAACTACAAAGAGAAGCCCTGTAAAAAGGCTAAAGTTTTTGCTATTCAGACTGTTCAGATTTTCCTAATTGCTGCGATAATTTCTAGCTTCCTACATAGCTTCCGTCATAGCATTATATACCCCATTGCAAACAGACAGCACAACCAACCTTTGGGCTCCAACCTCTGCCAGAAATGACCCACAGCACAACAAAATAGAGAGATACTTACATGACACCTCCCAGATTCTCTGAATTTGCTCAAGAAAGTCCCTTTTCACCTTTGTATTCAGTGTTACAGAAGCAATACGGTAAGCGTAATGAACGCCGGCGTGTAGACAGAATAATTCTATTTAATTCTAAAACTGTTTTTTAATGTGAGTGCTGCAGCTCTGCCTCTGCACAAACACACCGTCAGGGCTGCAGGTGAGAGCACGGCACAACTTTGGCCAGGCACTCGCAAACGGCTCTGCAGCTCAGAGGCATCTTGGGCCAAAGTAAAAATAGCCAAAGATAAAAACCAGTCCCTTTAAAAATTTAAGTCTTTGTTCACTCTTATAATAGAGCGGGGAATAAAGGGCAAGATTTCATTTTTCAGAAGCCACCTGAATATCCTCTTCCCAAGCATTCTCACAAAAGTATCTCTCGTTTTCCTTGGAAAACCGTAATGGTGGAAATGGAGAAATAAGTCCTGGCTCTGCTACACGTCCTCATCCTCCCCCAACAAGCCGTCTGCCTTCCCGTAGACTTAAGAAGGATTTCAATAAGTTTGAGTTGTCCAAAAGTAATAAAAAAACCCCTAATTTCAAAATTAAATATTCGATTTCACTTAGGTACATTCTGATTGCCAGTGAAAGACAGAGCCTACCAGTCTAGAGGGAAGTAAAGTGAAAACGCCTCGATGTCAGTCTCACATCTCGTAGGGAAGGCGATGGTGCGCGGAAAACATATGTCCTTAAAGATGCCTTACCAAAATGTCCAGTTTTAGTATAAAATAATCCATGCATGATAAGTAATTCTAATGCTGATTAGCGAAGATTATTTCCTGAATACTCTTTAAACTAAAAAAATTTTAAATATTGCCATTGCAGGCCTTTTTAATATAGGCTGTTAGGAAAATACACCGTGCCATCCTTACAAAATATACTGAAAAAAATGCAATACAATGTTTTTTGAACTGAAAACTCATAAAGATCATTTTCCATGCTGACAGTGCGCATTTCATCCAGAAGTTTGAAGAGTCAAATGCTACCCCAGCTGGGGGTTATTCTGCCAAATGGCTTCCAACAGTGACCACAGAGATGGAGGACGGGAGGGGTGCGTGCGTGTGGAGGAAAATAAACGTGATGGCAAACAACCCCAAACCCAGCCCGTCTTATCAAACACCCGACATACAGAGCCAACCACACAATGCAAATCTAGGATGCAAAACTGAAACAAAAAGACATGAACAAAATGAAACAAAGCCATTCATGAGTTACCTGCAGAGATTTAAAACAAAAAAAGCATACGAATGAAGCAGATATAATTCATATGGATTTGCCCAGGAAGGAGAAAAGGAGGGGTGAGTGTGAGGGCTGTGGGGGGAGAAGAACAGATACCTTTTTTTCTTAAACAAATCCATCATGAAAGAAAATGAGACAAGATTATAAATAGGCCGAGTTATAGCGCACCATGGGATTTTTAATCTGGCTACCTGTGGTTTTTGCAGTTAAAGCCCTATTCAGCAGTGGGAAAGGAGGGGGGAAAGCGGGAAAAAAAAAAAAAAGAAAAGAAAAAAGAAAACCAAAATCAGGTTTATGTGCCAGTTTCGCAAATGCTCCCTCAGCGTGCATCATCAACAATGCTGGCAAACAGGAAACACTAATTATTAGCATTTTCTAATAAGCATACGCCTTTCAAACATTATTGATCATTACCTGTCCGTCTCGTTTCCTGCATTCTTGAGTTTTACTCTCGTGCTCTGCCATGGCAGCGCGGAGCTGTTTCTCCAGTTTCTGGATTTCCCGTTCATGGTCTCGGACCAGGCTGTCCTTCTCTGCCTTGTGCTGCTGGAATAGGTGCGTCTTCTCCTGTTCATGCTCCAGCCTCAGCTCCACTATCTGATTGGACAGTGAGGAGTACAGTTCATCAATAGAACATCCTTGTCGTCATGACAACTCATCTACAGCTTAATTTTCCCCTTAATTTCATCAACTTGGCAATTTTATTTTTACGTCACTATTACCTCACCTTTTAAAAAGCCACCGTTAGCGTGACAGAATTCCTCCAGACAATCCCAACAATGGAGACAACCGAGCAAATCCAGCGCATCCTTAACCAATTTCTTGGTACAAATGTCGGCGCGTACCAAAAAAAAAAAAAAAAAAAAAAATTGCCTTGTCGCATTCTGCGGCCGGTCCCCCCCGGACCCTGCTGCCGCTCGTGGGCAGGGCTGAGGAGCCGAAATGGTTAATAGGCAGCCTGCTCGCCCCTTCGCTGGAGTATACACACACAACGCCCCCCACCCAGCAATTAAAGCTTTTAAACATTTCTTTATGATTTCCAAAGCGAAAGCTCTTCCTTCGATTTCCCTCAACGCTGCAGTACATACAGTTGGCTTTTTTTTTTTAATAGAAAAAAAAAGAAAGAAAATTATAAAAAACAAAGCTCCATTATCCCGTTGTCGGCTACGCTATCCCAACATAAACAGATGTATGTGTTCCAGAAGGGCACCTGCTGTGCCGCAAGCTTGCGCCATGATTTCATAAGAAGCCCTCTATTCTCAGGATCCTTTCCCAGTCCGCACCAGGCTGGATGCTGTGACCTTGGCCAGCCTTCGCCTCTCCCCGCCAGCCTGAATGGCAGCCCCAGACCGCGGGCCTGGTCGCCGCAGCTTTGATACTAATCCTCCCGCCTGCGCACAATGGCACCCTACCTGGCCCGCACACTGGAGCGGGCAGCCCGCCTTTGAAGCAGGTGATGAATAGGGACGGCAGGAAGCCGCTTCCCCACTGAACTCCGGGCCACACAGCTGCTAAGAACAGTCACTTGGATTTTTCTTCAGTTTTGGTGGATTTCGAAAAGGGGGGGGGGAGGATGGGGAAGGGAAAAAAAAAAAAAATAATGCTGTTATCATGAATATGGTGGGGTATTTCAGCGTGAGAAAAAAAAAAAAAAAAAAAAAAAAAAGGCAAGGGAACGGGAGGAGCTGGCTGTGTGTGCGCCGAGAGCGCCCCGGCACCTTATCTTAAAGCTGTAGCATTCAATTCTGGAATAATATTAGCTGTTGGCGTGGCTTTCGGGTTTCAAATTTGAAGCGAAGTTAAAAAAAAAAGCCTTTTCTCAAACTACAGATCAGCGTGTTCCAGGTTTAAAAGTACGATCTGTCACCGTTGCGGCGGCCGGGAGCGTCCTTCCCAAAACGTCCTTCCCAAAACGGAGCAAGTCCAACAGACGCAATATTCTACGGTTTAACATATCTACATTAGTTAATGATACTAAAGAGCTCATTAACAGACGTCTGAGGTCCCTGAAGGAGTTAACCCCCCAGGAGGCACACATTATCTCTGCTGGGCCTGGGATCCTCACACTAAGTTCTTTGAGTCGGGGTTTTACCCAAGGTTTCTTGGTTTCTTTGAAAGCCAAGACCAGCGGTGTCCCCAGCGCGCCCAGAGCACGGCATTCCTCCTCCCAGAGTGATGGTGGAGGCTTTGCCCAAGAGATGGGAAAAAACGTTCAGCGGTTTTTCATAGATCAGACCTGAATAAGAAGAAATCATGTCAACGGGAGAGTCTTTTTAGTCAAACATTTCCTAATTACTGGGTTTTCAGCTGGCTCTGCCGCACTTGGCCCAGGGTGAGGTGGCCATGAGACCCCCCCATCAGAGAGGCCATCACGAAGGAACAGCCGGAGGCAGGACCATGTGCTAGACGGGGACAAGGGACAGACCCTGCTCCTTCACCTGTCCCACGACACACGTGCACATCACCACCTGACCCCAGTCATTGCAGGTTATTTAGGAGTCTCTTCACTTACAGAATCTATATTAGAGACACGAGGCTTTTGAATGTCAGCAGTGGGAAGAGCTAAAAGGGACGGGTCCTTCTGCATGTGGGAGGGGTGTCCCCCCCGCTGCGTGGGGAGGGACGGGGTGGCCGGGTGAGCAAGGGGGGTTATAAAAGGCAAACTCGTTGGAGGAAAAAAAACCCTCACCACTTAAAGCAAAGTATTCCCCATGACATTTTTGGTTTGCTTTTTAGAGATTTCTGGCAGGAAGCAGAGATGGAGAGAAGGGAAAGGATGGGGCGAGAGCACTTTCATTCCCTCAAGTTCAAAGAGCTGGAAAACCCATCTTCCATAATGAATATTAACAAGAACCCCACATTTGTGACCAAGAAAACGTGCTTTCCTGTAAAAATAACATGAAGTGACTGAGCAGCTATTTGAGTGCTCTGGTGAGTGTTCACTGAACCTCCTCTTCTCCTCAGAACCGCTGCCAAGCACCACACTTTCTCTCCCACTCCTGCCTCTCGGTCTTCTATTGTTGTTGGTGGTTGTTTTTTTAAAGGAAAAAAAATATGTATACCAACAAAAGGAAAAAAACCCAACCCATGCTGTTTGTCAGCAACAACAGGACTTCTTCATCACAGGGAGACACATGAAAACTATATTAATTCTTCATAAATCAATATGGATTCTGTCTCCTCTTTGAGGAGGAGCCTTCTTAAGCGCCCTTTGAATGACAAAACAAAACCGCCTCCTTTAAAAACTGTACCTTGTTGAGACCTTTCTGCATCTCCCCCGAGATGCTCAGCACTTCATCAGGTTACATTCAATGTCCACCCAAACCCAGCAGATACACGTCTGCAGCCAGGCAGTTTGGGTGCTGTACATCTCGGGCAGACAAGCAACACGACATTCACAATGGGCATTAGGGGCGACGCTGAAAAGAAACATTCATTAAAGAATAGTGTGCGCCCTATTACCATAATCACATCGCATTCATTGGGGCTTAGATGTTTCCTCATTTTGCCCTCCCAAAGATGATAATCTTTTATTCTCTTCTCTGCACATCTGTTCCAGCCTGGACCCTGGACCGAGCTGCACCGTCTGCTCCCACTGGTCTCTCCCACACCGTGACGTACTGGTAGTGCCAAGGAACACAAGTATTCTAAATTTACAATCTCCTCTTTCCTGAATCCTTCAGTTTTTAATTCTTTCTGCATCAGTATGAGAGAACCTTAGTCAAGGCACTAGCCAAGAGCTGATTAACTGAGCCACCACCAGAATTACACCGTTTAATTTTTAAATCTCTGCTTTTACCTGAAATTTAACAATATTTCTTCACTCTTGCAGAGTAAAGAATTGAAAAAAGATGACAACATTCTTATCAAAAAGCTAAAAAAAAAAAAAAAGATTAATCCAAGAACTGTGTCAGTCTTTTGTCATCCACTCTCACAAATACACTCCCCCCCACCAAACTGTCAAACAAATCTGGGGAGAGATGCCCTTCCAGCGCCCAGCCTTCCCTGCGCCCAGCCCCGGTGCCTTCGAACCACCTGCTCAGACCAGGGACCATCTCACAGACCTAAAGCGAAATCACGTCGTCGTTTGTACATCTGAAGAACAAAGATCCACAGCAAACAGCCCGCTGATTGCAGAAGGTATTTTCAGAAGCCAAATACTTGTAATATAATCAACATCAGCAAATACCTTTTTAAAGTCCCTAATATAGACTAGACCTTCTACTACCCAGATTTTGCTTTTACATCACACACTAGGTTTAGGCTTTTCAATTTTAGAACAATTTCGACTTGTTCTCCAGAACAAGCACGCCTTTGAAATTCTTTTTATAGTCCCCAAAGGAGGGAAAGGAAATTAGTTAGCTTACTGCCTCTTTGAAAAATGTAACTGCTACAATAAATATTTGACACCAGAGTATGAAAATTCATGTAAATTTATGTCCACAATTCCAGAAATATTGTAAGTAACACCTACATAAAATATGGTCTTGCATGGCAGGATGATTTTCTGAGCGCTGTTTTGGCACAACTGAACTGAGGGCTGGAGAAGCCACCGTCAGTGACACGAGGGAGCTCACACAGCGCGCGTGTAGCACGGCTGCCTTCAGCAATTTTATAAGCATTTAAGAGTGTTTGTAAATCAGGTGTCTTCACTATCATTACCCTGCTCAAAACCCACCCCTAACCTCTGCCCAGCACAGCATCTATCCCCAAATAACAACTCCGGTAAAATCCAGCAGTTTCTGTCTCCTAAGCCTATAAATAAATGTGCGTGTTTCACGAGGATATGGGGATTACTCGTCTCCACAAATACACTGCTTCTAAAAGTAATCTGATATAACAGGCTGGAGGATGGAGTATTAATCATGCTGGGCTCTGGCTTAGCATAACTTTGGGCGGAAAAAAGGCCTCTTCCCTGCAAGGCAAGGAGCTCAGCACAGCTCCTGTGCAGCAGAGGAATTAAACGGATTTTAAAAGTACACCTTTTTTTGAGATTTCACTATAATTTGGAACACAAAGTACTCCCAAGATATAAGGCTATAATGAGCCGAGGGCAGTGAAAAATCCATCAGTGTAGAACCATGTATTTATTGCCACCGAAGCAGCAAGTACACGTAGGGCAACGAACACACATAGTGAATGTGTTTCACTTCCTATTCCATTTCAGGCTGCAATAACTTAATTGGTGTGACTGTGTTTCCTGTTGTACTTCACCTTATTATCAACCACTAATAACCGTATTTCAATTGCAAACTAAGAATTGCAAGAGATTCTCCAGGAGACACAGGCTGGGCTATTCGCCCGAGTGCAGTTTGATTTATCCTCCCCACTCCGACATCACACCCGAGCACCCTCACTGTGGAGATCAAATATATACACCTTCCAGAATGTTCATATTTTTAAAGTATGGGCAGCATAAATCTCACCTCAATCCTCCTGCCATGAGTAAATCACCAGGTTATTGGAAATGCAGTTGCATCCCTGGGATCCCACCACTCAGCGCCGGGTGAGCGCCAGGAGATCCCACCCCCCAAGGAGGCCAATAGCTCTGCAAACAGAAATACTTCTTTCAGACTAATATACCTGGAGTCACTGCCAATGCCTGTCTGTAGCAGGCTCTGTACAGAATTTGCTGTACGTAGGCTTTGTTTAGGGATTCAGAGTTTATTCAAGGACTTTCTTTGAACTCTGGGAAGCGGCTCCGCAGGCGCTCGCAGCCCCACTCGCTCCTTAGTGCAGGCACCAATTTACATTCCCAGAATCGTCCCCCCTCTCCCTCTTCCCCAAAACGTGCCTTCTGCTGACTATGTGGGGAGCTCAGGCTTTTAACTCGGAATCACACACAGGTTAGATTCCTGAAGGAGACAGTGTAAATACCCATCTGTCTGGTTAACAAGTCTGTAAACAGCAATGCTTCAGCGAGAAGAATTTCCACCCACTCTTTACTCGGAGATTAAATTTGGATCCTTTTCCCATTTGTGAGTTTTAGCTATATAATGCAGTGAAAAGTTGATGCTGATGATTGAAGAAACTATCCCTCAGATATTCTGCACAAATGGCATTCATCTGTGTGTTAGGATGGTTCAAAGGAAACATTTATGCATCCTAGATTAATTTATTAAACGAAATTTATGCAGCTTGTTGCTGATGACATGAAAAATTTAGAGTCTCTGCTAACGTGCTCATTTGGCCTCCGTGCAAGAACAGACTGTATTTCAATTATCTTAGACAAAGGAGAGAGGAACAAAGCTTTTTACAAAGACTGCGTCCTTACAACTAAACCAGCACAACTAAACCCAACCCTCAGCCTCTGCCTGTTACCAGCTGAGAAACTCCTACAACACCCCTGTGCCTGAGGAACCCTCATTCCAGGCACATCTTGAGACGTGCTTTCTTCACTGCAGCGGGTAACAGGTTGGTCAAAAAGCAGCTAGAAGAAACAGAAAAGGAAGGATGAGGCCAGAAGAAAAGTGGGGATATAAGTGCAGCGGCAGTAACTCTTCACTGAGAAAAGATACAGGGACAAAGCCAGCTGGGCGTTAAGGTCGTTATCTCTATTAGTGTGTCCCACCAAACCCCTCTGGAGGCATGATCTTGGCACTGGAGGCAGAGTTTGAGGTGCACACATGGTGACTCTGTCTTCTGATAGGACTGATGGTGTCTGCAGCAGTTCTGAAGACAAGGCCACCAGCTGGACAATGAATTGAGCTAAAAGTAACACACCAAATAAACACAACAGGACTGTAAACTCAACAGATCCAACGTAGAAGCAGCATTTCATCCTCCTGCTTCCTACCTTAGAAAGGCAGCACGGCCACAGTTGCAGCAGGAGGTAATAACGGTGGCTCCTGAAGCGTTCAACAGACCCTTCAAGCCACCAACCCTCCAGCTGACCCCATCTGCAGGACTTGCTTCTCCAGTGCTCCCAGTCCACAGGACTAAATGACCTTTCTTCAGCCTAAACAGCTCTAGGCTCCATTGCACTGGCTTTTCACGGATAGAACTCATTTTCCCTGAGGAACTTCCTTTCCAAGTCCCATCCCCAAGTCACAGCAGTTTCTTGGTTTAATGCTTCATCCCCACTTTTTGCTCTATTCCCTACCTAGGCTGCATTTCCCCTCTGCCTCAGGAGGTCACAGCCTCCACACCACTCTCATGCACCGGCTGTTCCCAGAGAGGACACTGGAATTCTCCATGAGACTCTTCAGAATATTTAGCTGCTGAACTCCTGGACATCTCAGGTAAACAATGTTTATTACCTAAATACACTTGATGAGATCTTCAAGGTAAAACTTTGGGCACGTGCTCTTTCAAACATTGGGGCTCATGGAAATTTACTGTAGCAGAAGGTATCCCAGGTATTTTGAGCTAAACTGAGGATACAATTAGAAAGTCAGAAAAAAAAAAAAAAGAAAGAAAAAAAAAAAGGGAGTGGGTGCAAAAAACCAAACAAGCTTTTTTCCTGTGCTGACGGTGCCATAAAGCCCAACTCCAGAGACTGCAGCCATTTCAAAGGCAGGAAAGGCTGAGGCCTTCGCTGTGGTGTCCACTGGCTTTGAAGTGTCGAGAGCAGCTGCTCCCAGCAGATAGGAACTCTGGTGCTGCTGGAGTTATTTTTTCTTCAAAATATACTTTCAAATCTAACAGCTGCAAATAGAACAAAGTTGAGCTAAAGTATATTTAAAGAAAAAAAAGGCACCAGTTTCTCCCCAAGAGTGTTCTCAGTGGATACTTCAAAAGAAAGTGGCACTGAATCAGCTGAAGCTGGAACCAGGAGTGACACGGGACAGCTGAGACCAACTACTGCAAGATCCAAAATTTCTTCTTTGCTTTATCAATGGAAGAAGTTAACAAAACATTAACTGCCGTGGTTCTGTATGGGTTTTTCCTAATTCTTTTTCAAGGAAAATTTTTTAAATATTGATATATCAACATATATCAGGTTATTTATTGAGATAAATATCAATATATAACCTATCAGTATATCTAATCTGTATGCAGAGCAATCTTTCAGCCCCACGGCAAACAGTCCATGTCCAACCAGTAACCTCTGAAACCAGTATTCGAAGAGAATCCTGCAAATCACAGGCAACCATTCATATAAAGCAGAGACGTAAAAGCACAGCTCTCAAGTTCCAACACTTCTGAGATGTTTCTCAGATTAGAGAACTGGATAGCACATCAGTTAATTTGGGTCTTCATTACCAACTGGATTAAATTTATCGCAACTGAATTGCCCAGTGTTTCTGCCACTCACCGTGCCAACCTACGCAAAATACATCTGAAGGTCAATTTTCCTTCCTTTTGTGCAGAAATTCCCTTTGACAACTAGATTCACGCACTTGAGGCAGAACATCTCAAAGCCACTGCTACATTTCTCAGGAGCTAAAGTATCCACTTTTTTGGTGGGGTGTCTGTTTCCCGACAGGAATTCTGCCAGAGCCCTGCTGATACCCACCACCAGTTCTCAGTTACTGCTCTTTTTGGATAGTTCGTCAGACCCCAAGTAGCCACCAAAGAAATATGCAGTGAAACAAGGCAAGGACAAGTCTGCTTTAACAGTGGTTCAGAAGTCTGGAAGCATGGAGAGCAATACAGGGGAATAGAAGCTGGAACTCCTGAAAGGCAATTTTAAAGCCCCGACAGCTCGTTCGGGCTGTGGCTGGGCTGGAGGAGCCTTGTGCTGCAGAAATGACAATACACAAAAGACCTCGTTCCTAATGATAACCCACTGCAAGCTGCAGGAAGGGTCACATACTTCTGGTGTTCACAAGCTTTCAAAGAACATTCCAAATGAAGTACGAAGAGAAATAAATTTCAAAAAAGGGCATAAACAGGATTCCTCTGAAAATTCTTCTGAGGCTCTCATTGTTTAGCTGTTTAGTGATGAATCCCTTTCCTTGGGTTTCACTGATGTTTCGTAAAGCCCAGTTGTTCTTTCTTGCTGGAAAAAGTAGTTATCGTAAATCAAACGAAAGTGACACAGTGAACATCTCCTCTGAGTGGAAAAGGCTCTCACTGATTTTTGCCACAAGATCAACATTCTTACAGAATACCAATTCTGTAAAAAGATTCACCAAAATCTTTAAAGTATCACTTCCATTTCTTGTTTTATGAGGGTTTTTGACCCAATCTCAACAAGGTCTGAATATAATAGGCATGATGAAACAAGAACACAAATAAAAATAAACTGCAACACTAATAGGCATTATCACTTCCCTTTAGTGTGCAAAACCAGCAGATTATTTGGCAGAAGATTGGAGCTATGGCTTAGTATTTCTTGCCGTGTATACTGAAAGCCAAAAAATTACCATTTGTAGATAGGAACAGAATTGCCAGAACATCTGATGAACTGCAGGTTAGTACTTATTTCTACAGATCGTATAACCATGCAAAAATATTGATTTGAGAGAACTTCAAGCTTACAGACTAACTGTTATCACTGCTAAAACTTTTTTTTCCCATCCTTTAACAGGTGTCACCAAACACACGGCTTCAATTTCACGACAAAGAACCACCTTGAGCAAGTGTCTGATGGGCTGGCTCATCCATGTAGCGCTCAAGCCTGTATCATACAATAATTTGTCTGCTTCTAGTTCTGTTTTTTCCCTTTACACCTTGCAACACCACTGAACTCACTCTCGTCTCCACCCAAATGTTTCCTGAATATTTCCCAACCCTGAAATTACATTACAGTAATGAAAATCACTATCAGTGGGCCAAAACAAGCATTCATATGAACACTCCCCGCATTAAAAATGAGAAAAAAGAATAAAATGCTGTTTCTTGACAAGAAGAAAAACAGATAACGCATTAAATAATTTCATCTGGCCATTATGAAAATAGGTGTTGCCACCTGCAATCCTGGGAAACAATTTGAAAGAGTCAGAGGTACAAAGGACTGCAAAGAGGAAAGAAAAATATTTTCTATGGAGACTCTTCACCCTCCACATCCCACCACATAAACTCCACGTACCTATAAATTATGGCTTTACACAAAGAACAGCAACGCAGGGCGAGGACAGGACTAATCTGCCACCCAACCTGACCCACAGCTGCATGAGATGTCCCTCCTCCCCTCCTCCCCACGCACCAAACCCACTGACCTGTTGCTCGTATCTTTGCTGGAGCTCTTCCATCTGCCTGGAGAATTCTTTGGATTGCTTTTCCCGGAGCGATTTTGATCTGCTTAGATCTGCTTCAACCTTTTCCATCTACATGGCAAAAGAAAGGGAATATTTAATTTTTTTTTTTTAAAAAGGCAGAGCTTGAAACGTCCTGACGTTTCTACAGTTGTTTGCAAACCATCAAAGACACAAAGAAAACTTGCTGAGAATGATAACACTACTATTTGTATGGAGTGAAAATTAATGTTCAGTGAATACCAGATTAATAGGGACCTAAGGATACAGCGATCACCTGCACCACACCACTCCCCAGTTACAGAGCTCTGGCTCCGTGTCTCAGGTGACAGTGGTGCACATCCCAGCAAAATGAAGTGAAGGCTTTTTCTGGACATATTTAAGACGCAAATACATTTCACTTAAAAATATATTGCCTGTGGAAATTCAAGGGAAATCATGTGTGAGTCAGTGCACAAACTACACATTTAATGTAAGTTTACATTAAATCAGTAAAATAACTTAAAAGAGAATTATTTGGCTGCAAGTAAAGTTCTCTGAAGATAGTCATCGCCTATGAATAATGAGTCCCACAGATTCCAGCACACAGCATCAAGGAAGCAATTTCATAACCCAATTAGCAAAGGCTTTTGTACCTAAAGCACAACTTTAGCTGTACGTCAGGCACGCTTCCAGGGGACAGGCACACAGGGTGCTGTGCTGCAGCGCACGCTCCTCCAGCACTCATACATCCAGGTCCCAACTCCGGCAGGGAATTCACTGCCTCCCTCCCGAGGGCAGGAAGGGCTGTAGCTGTCGGGAGGACCTGCCCTGCCACCAGCCCATCTGCTGCACCAAAAGAAGAAACACACCAATTCCTGAGCCCGGAGCCAAGATCCTGCTGGGCCCGAGGGAGAGCTCCGTCTTCCCCAGATGTCTTTGCCAATCGACCTGGACATCGCCTCCCAGACAGGGAAAAGGCAGTTCTCAGAAAAGCATTTTATTGGAAAGAACTGCAGCAAGAGAGGAAGATATAAGGCTTGGAATTGTTGGCCAGATAGGAAGTGGAAAAACAGAAAAACAGAATGCAAAGTAAGAAGTGATCCTTCCAGTAGTTCTTGAATCTCACTGCTACTACCTGCTACTAAGGAAAGGGACTTCAATGAAAATTTTAGAAATAACCTCTTCTGCATCCATATTTACTCAAGCTGCATGTTCATAGCCATAATTTACTCCGCTAAACAAAACTCAGAAAAATAAAGGATTACTTTATTAAAGAATTTTTACTTTTAAGAAAAAGAAAACATTCTAAAAAGTGAAATAGTAAAAACATACACAACAATGCTTTAACTCTCCTGGCTTTCATGCTTTACTCCTCAGGACACATTCAAATATGTCTGATGAGCCACGAGGACTCTTGATCGTTGTTTGCCAAAACCAGGAAACACAAGATCTAAAGTCCCATGATGTGGTCTATGTATGGTTTCTCTCTTTGCTAGTTACTATGAGAAAAAAATGCAGGTTTACAGCTAAAACTGTACCATTGACCCATCAAGGGGCGCGAGGGGAGCCCTAAGAATCACAAGCTCACCAAAATAGGAAGCAGATGGCAAAAAATATCACAGAAACCGAAGCAATGAATCCAATATTGATTACAAGACCCCATTCTGCTTATCTCCATAATTAACTTTACCACACACCAAAAAATGGTTTTAGAAGCCCGATATTTCTAATGTAGTTAAAAGTACAGTGTTGCTATAGCTACAAGGGTTTTTGCTTTATAAGTAATACATTCCACCTAACCACAAAAAATAGAGTTTTCCAATCTGTTGCAATCTAAGGGTTGATTTATCTAAAGAGTACGTGTGTGCAAAAGAATGAGAAAGGACAAAGCTCTGAAGACAGCTTCAATAGCGTTTCTTTGATGTATTTCCTTCAACCTTAGAACAGCACTGCACACTCTTACAGCACCACTTTCTATTTCTGGAGTTTAGCATGCAAGTGGGGGCAGAATAACTCCGTGGCTGGTTCTTGGAGAACAGCAAGATTTATTTTCAAAATTTCCCAGAACACAGCAATATTCTCAGAGAAACACACAATCATTTTTAAATGACAATTGATTTTGTAAGTTTTCCAAATTCTTCTGCAGATTTTCTGTTTTGGATTTGTTTGCCCCCCCCCCCTTCCTCCCCTTTTTTTTTTTTTTTTTTTATTATTACACACTTACCTGTTGAACTAGTAAGTTTGCTAAATTTATACCTAGGCATATGCCACAACAAACAAGTCAGGGAATCTCTGATGGAAGAAGAGACTTCTCCATGCTCAGTTCTATTTTATTAGTCTTTCTAGAATTAGATTACATCCCTTTTGGAGCAGAAATTAGATATTATTTTAAGTTATCGTGAAGAAGTTGGAGGAGAGTCTCATGGCACAGAAAATGTCGGATTAAAATTGTCGGATTGGTTGTATTGCCCTCACAGGTCTAGTTTGCAGAACAAATCTTGCTTTTATAAGTTTGTTATTGCGTTTTTTTATTTTTATCTTTATTATTTGCTGTCTGCATGAGTCTTAAAAATATCAGCAATGCCTTACTTAATTTCTCATGTTTGTTGAAGATTTTCAGAAAAAAAACTTCACAAGAACAACCAGAAGAGAATTTGTTGGATTCTAAGGCAGCATGCTCACAAATCCCTTACAGTATCAGATTGCAGCATCCCACTGCCAGCAGCGAGGGTCCTTATGAGAATTGAGGCTGGAAAACAGAGTCTCTGCTCAGGTAGAATTACCAGCTTGAAACATGTAGAGAGATTTCAACCACGTTAAGCAAGTTAAGGACATACTCCTTTCTCTCCCCTTCTTTTTGATCACCAGTGGCTTGTTCCTTATTTCACTCATCACGCTGCATTTATAACATCCCAGGGACAATGGTTTAACTACTGTTTGCTCCTAAGGAATTTAAGGCACTAAAATCTTTTCACGTAAATTCCTGCTACTAATTTTCTGGGACAGAAAGATGGGTTTTTCTGTCCCCTTCACGTGACTGCCAGCAGCCACGATGGCACTGCCCCTGTTTAGGCTCAAACTGATTACAAGACCTCATTAACGGAGGAGAGAGCCGTTCCAAAAAGAGTAGGAAGAGACACACATTTAAGTGGAAAATTACAAACGCTGATCCATAGGGGTGTATAAACTAACACTTTATACTCTCACTCCTGAAAAATCCCTAATCAGTATCATAACCGCAGATATCTTTATAACAATGACAATTCTGGCTTTGTTAGAAAGATGAAACATCTGCTAACATCCCTTTCTGACTCGCTAGCAAAGACACTACATTGTGAAAGATTTTGATGTAGCACTCTCAAGTGAAGCATGTTTCTGGCATTATAAGATCAGAATACGCTATCCTACTGAGACAGAGTTTCAGAAAGGCTGGCATTGTGACCTTCTCACCTGCTGTTTCATTTCAGCATAGACTTTTTCTGAGTTCAGCTCCACCTGCCGCTTAAACTCCTCCAGGGCAGCATCTGCCTGCTGGGCCTGCAGCCTCTGTACCTCTGTCACCCGACTCAGCTGCTCCTCCTTCTCCCTAGAAAGTCACAGAAAATTTTCAGAGTTCAAGTATCAAATAAAAGAACAAGTGTGCTGGTGTAAAAGAGAGGCCTTTAACCCCATCAGTTTAAAATAGTATTCAGATTTCAATTTCCTGTCCCGGCTTCTGCCAAACTTCCCTTAGCAATACTTTGAAGAAGGGAACAGAGGGCTGGAGTTATTTGCGCTTTCTCTCATTGAATTTCACACCCAAACACGCCGTCCAGCGCTTGCCACGGCACCTCCATCCTCAAAGTCTGCACTGACTCCAACGGTTTGCGACCCGCTGTACAACCCCCTGCTTTTAATCTCACCTTTCAAAGAATATTGCCCCCCCAATACTTGAATTAATTCCTTTCAGCACGATCATCTTCTCCCATTAAAAAACAAACAAACAAAAAGTTATCCCAGTGCCATCTTTGCTCAGATGCAGGATTATTCACTGCTTGACACGTATCAAAATGCAAAGCAGGATAATGCGTGACATATGGTACCTTCTTAATCTATTAGAAACTCCTAATGCTGTAATATCTATTCAGCCTTTAAAGTAATGACAGATGTTAAATCTTTATGCAAAGATATTCCATATTAACAGCCTATACCATTTGACATATTGATGTCGATACACATATAGAAATTGGTTTGGGTTTCTTAAGACACCATAGTGTATCAATAGTAATGTATGCACAACGTTTTATGGACACAGATACACGTATATGTATGTATACATCTGTACACCTAAAAAACAGACACATCCACCATACTGACACATCACAGACAAAAATTCTAATAACTTGCAACTATTTGAGCAATGCTGCTGTGACTCCTCCCACACAAGGCAGCCAGGAGCACTGGTACCTTTCTATGACACGTTTCTGCTCTCCCAGGTCAGCGGAGTTGCCCGACTTTGTGTTCAGGCTCAGGGGAACACAATGGTGGCTTCCATGGACAAAGCTGGCTCCACCAGCTGTTTGTAACAGGAGACACATTCAAACAGACCTGTGGTTGACATTTCCATTTTACAGGCGGAGGAAGTACCTCATGATAAATTTCCCATTTTGACAGAAATTATTTCCATATAAAACAAAGAATCTGACACAGAGACGGAAAAGACCGACTAATTCATCCAGTCTGTCACCTCGCCAGCGCCGAACCAGCTCTTACAGCACTGAGCAAGCCTTTTCTAAAGGTCAGGGAGCTGCCAAGCCCAGAGCTACAGCATTCACATCCTCTTCTGCGGTTTTCATACCAGAGTCTGACAATGGGACAAAGAACATAATCCTACATCTTCAGAAACTGTCCGTTTGCAGTCAGGAGAGCGGGGTAATTCTATTAGCAAAGAGATCAAAGAAATGCCACAAGCCCCGAGTAAGTCTATTACTGTTTACTTTTCTAGTTTTTTCATCATGCATATTTTAAAAACAATATTTGATTTTGGTACCTTCCTTACAGCTGACGGAATAACTGAGACATAAGGAGACTGCTATTTTCCTTACAGAAAAGGGAAAATACCTTTCTTAGCCAGCAGAAACTGGAGCAAAACAGAACAAAATCCTGTATTGCATTTTTGGTGATAATTGCTTAGGGGGTTTGGGTTCATGTTCACAGAAAATTGTGGGCAAATTTTCTTCAAATTTGGTAAAGAGCATCCATCACCCCCACACAGATGTGCTTTATTTCTGCTGCCACAGCAATTCCATTTTCTAAACTCCTTTGAGGGGGAAGCACATCTGTATATTAATCTAAGTTATCATATTCTCCATTTATTTATAAGGCAATAAAAATTACACAGCAAAAAAACCACCTCCAAAATCAACATTTTTTTCCCTTTTTAAATTAAACTCAAAAAATGACCATTTAGGATTTAAATTTCTACTAGAGAAGATCCAAAAGATCAAAATTCCAAGTACAAAACCCCTCAGAGGTTTCTCAGAACAGGCACACACTGATGCCTCCAGAGCTGAAACCCACATGAGTGTCCAGCTGCAAAGGTGTTTGTGCAATGACCCCCCTGAACTCACCTAGCAGGGAGCTGCTGAACATAGATGTTTCTAAGTTAAGAGCTGCTTGAAACTGAATTATGGTGGTTGTTCCCCTCTCCCACAACAAACTACCAGTAGTTCACAGGAAAGAATACGTAAGAGGCTGAAATATCCTCTGAACCCCACGGCGGGCTCAGCGCCCCGCGGGAGGAGAGGGCAGAGACACCGAGAGGGGAAAATCCCAACCTCTCTGCTGGGTCCCTCACACTCTGCTCCCAAAGGTCCTCGGTTCAGTGATGAGCACTGCCTCACAAATCTCCCTCCCCGCAAAATACATCCCATATTTCCAATCCACACTGGAAACAAACCCAAATCCCAAAGCTCATTCAAACGTACATGCAGAGAAGTGCCAAGAGACATCGGAACAACATTTTTGGTCCAGTCAAATGGAAATGCAGTAAATCTAAACATAAAAGGACCAGGTGCCAGTCCCTGCGCTGTCAGTGAGCCTCCACATTTACACATCCTCTTCCTGAGGAACAGATTTTCATTTTGAAATATTGTGATATAGACTTTTAGGAGTTTGGTTTTCTGCACCTTCCTTTCTTTGAAGGACCTAATCCCATGAAGAGAGGCAACATCTCATTATAACGAGGAATAAAACTTCATTTTTTTTAAGGATTTGGGCGCTAGTGCTCTCTATTTTTTGTGCAGTTAAGGTCTGTACAGAAGCTTTGAGAACATGAACAACAGTGACCACGGCTCACAAATATCAGAAAAACTTTACTTTTTTTCCCAAGACACTGAGCAATGTGCCTTGTATGAAGCACTAAAATATTCACTTTGAAGATTTTTTTTTTTTCAGTTGCACTAGTTGTGGGGCCAAATACAATACAATTACATCACTTCAATCCCCTAAAGCTGAGCCGGCTTGAATATAAAAATAGGGTGAAGTTACTCTTTGGCCCCAATTTAAAAAGCAGCAAATTCCTCTTGTTTCAGGGTATAAAGGATATGGCAACAGAATTAGCAATTTTCTACAGCACAAACCATCTCAGGGAAAGTCGACTGTGAAGTCCAGAGCTGCAATTTCAGAAAGCAGCACTCTGAAGTGTACTGATAAATGGAAAATATAAACAATTTACACACTTCCTCTTCATGCTTAATCAGAAATATTTTCCTTGCTTCGTAAAACGTCTTCCAAGAGGTAACAACTAAACACAGCAAGACATTACAGCGTCGCAAGTCAAGTAAATGCAACACAGGGCAAGCCAGTGACTTGCAGGAGGGGTTAAATCAACTCAAGACGTTCCAGCAGAGGTGGCAGGAGCCAGCACCCCCATCCCGGGAGGAAGCAAAGGCTGAGACACAGCAAACAAGGAGAGGGGATGCACCTGGCTCGGTCACAGCCTCTTCAACAAACTCAAACATCACTTGTGAGGAAGCACAGAACGTGGAGCTCCACAGGTTACACATGGACAACGTCTGTGGACAGCCAGCTTCACATCCCATTGGCACACCTGCACACAAGTTTAGAGTTCAGAGAGCTTCTCAGGACAGAACAACAACCAGATTGAGAAAATCCTGATGTTGTCTTATAAAAATTATACCGGGCTTTAATTCTTTGCTAGGTCTTCAAATCCCACCAGCAGCAGCAAAAACCCGCTCGTGTCCAAAGAGATCATTGTTCCCCAACTGCAGCAGAGCAAGGAATTTCTGGGGTAAGGAAGCATTTTGCCATGGAATAAGCTTCAGAAACTTAGATTCTGATGGAGTCCACAAGAGGGAGAGGCTTCATCTGTTCTAAGCCTGTCACAGGTGAGTGTGACTCTGGGTTATGCCCAGAGAGGAAAAGGAGTCTTGCTGGGGAAGGCTGGGGCCCAGGAACACAGAGTAAGGGCTGAGGCCTCCTTCCCACCGGTGAAGCTGAGACCTTCCAACAGTGACCTGCTCGGAAGGGCCAGGCTCTCCTCCTGCTAATTGCCCTCATGATCCCACAATTACACATCTGCACTGATCCTACGGACTTGGAATTGCCGTACTTACACAGGTCTCTGCCCATTCCTTCCTCTCCTCCCCAAATATTGATACTTCTCAGAGAAAATTGCTTCTCTACCCACCAAATGGCAAACCAGTCCCCTGCTGGAAGGCAGCGGAAGAAGGATATTGCTGGGTTTGTTTCTAAACGTGCTACTGTTTATTTGTTGACACAAGAAATAAAAAATTGACTCTTATTATCTGTGTTGAAACAAATCCCATTATCACCATTTATATAGTCCATCTAGATTTCAAAAAAACCCAATATAAACACATGTTCCCAAAGGAGAAGACGACTCGTTATACAACATAACACACAGCATAGAGCAGCTAGAAACACAACCGCCATCAAAACATGGATGATCTGCCCCTGCAAAAGCAAAACTCAGGAAATTTACCTTCATGTCCTTTTCATATGAGCTGCAGACAGGAGCACCTGTCCAGGACACAGACACATATATTTCCACATACAAGATCTTATACAAGTGACCCAGGATCCTGCTCCTGACCCCGGGGACTCTCTGGTGGAGGTGCCCTGGCGCTGGCAGGGCCCACAGCAGGGCAGCAGTTCAACCATTCAGAGACCCACTTTGAGCTGGATGCGATAACCAGTAAAGCCCACTCCATGCAACAGCCCCTCTAATTTAATTTCTAGAATTCGGACTATTTCACCTACATAAATAATGTATTAAGGCCTAAAGTACCATACATTTGTAGAGAGAAGGGGTTACTGGTTTAGTTTATTGTTAGAGAAAAATGCTTCACTAGTAACAACAATGCTCTGAAATATTCAAAACCCAACTTCTCCTGCTCTACTGTTTTTCTCAGACGGTGACAGCCAAGTGACAGCTTTCAGTGTAAACTCCAGACTGGGTCTAAACGCCCCCACCATCGTGGCTGGAGCATCCCTCCCAGAGGCAGCCAACGGGGAGGACCACGCAGGGCTCTCCTGCCCCGCCAGCGCCCAAACAGATGGAAT